AATCATGCACATTTAAAACCTGTCAAACAGTGAGGTACTTTAATGGTATATATAGGAAGTATAAATAATTTATTAATATAGTTAATTTCTACAAATGTTTAGCTACCATACAAAATAAGTTTATAATAAGGAAAAAACTTAGCAGTTCAAATGTCTTCTGCAATTTTTCTTCTTTTCGTATCAGCATTTCTTTTCTCTTTGCACTTTTGGGCCATGGCAGCTTTCAATGATGAAGCTGTTGCTCCCGCAAAACGTTTAGTCACATGAGCTATAAGAAAGGAAATACAAGACTATCATTAGCTCTACATACTGTATTTCATGTACCGGTACTGGAACTCCACAGTCAGTTAACATTAGAGTATATAGCACAAGTTCACAGTTCACATGCAGCAATATGAGCAATTCCCTCCTGTCCAACCTATCAACTTTGCACATTATTATGACTGGGAAGATCTAATGCAGTAGCACAACCCAACCTTTGGTTGAAGTTGGTTCTAGTATTATCATAATTGATAACCCTTGGTTCATATGGCTTTTACCCTGACTTGTCCCCAGTAATGTATTCTTTGTGTGGGCGATACATGGCAAATTGGAAACTGATGCAAGGCTATCTTCTCAACAAGTAAAACTGTAAAATTTGCTGGCATTAGACAGAGTAATATATAAAGTAGAGCATATTGCCATGAAAGTTTGGTACCTTGTGGTGCTCCTGATGGTACTGATCCCCATTGTTAAAAGCAATCTTCGCTTAATTTGACTCTTTGGTAACGGTTGGATAAAAAGTCAGCGATCCAGTTTATGATGCTAGAGGGTAGATCTAGATTTTGTAATTTCTGTACAAGAATAGAGTGATCAATCATATCGAAGGCCTTACGGTAATCAAATAATAACACCCGAACCATAGCCCCATTTCCATCTATTTCTTTAGCCCACGTGTGTGTCATGTTGATTAAAGCGATACTGGTCCACGATTTTGAGTTCTGAAATTCATGGAGAGGAGCAAGAAATTTGTCATTAATCAAGTTTGCTATTTCAATGTTAATTTTCCCCTCTATGTCAGGACTGTGAATTTGATTGATCAGCGATGGGCTGCATGTTTGTTGCCATTCCACTTAGATTTTTAACACTTTTCCACCACACATCCGGATTGGTATATTTCATATCTTGAATTTTATTAGCATAATAGGTTGCTTAACATACTTTTCTTTTCCTATTTACTGCGTTGCTGGGGGGATCGGAGGTGCATATTACTGTACATTTATAAGGCATGATTAGGTCGAGACCGATTTTAATGACATCATCGAATATTTCGAGTTTCCCGTCACACGTTGGGCGGGTGGTTAACAAAATGTCCCAGTCAACTTGCGATAGGTAACGACTTAGATATTGGCGACAGCTGGCTCTCATATCATTCGTGATAATACGCTTCCTCAAAGGCTGACTCCTCGTTCGTTTACTAGGACGGACAAGTACTGTGTTGTGGTCTGACAAACCAAAGGGGCTGGCCAACGAGGCGTCTTTATATATATATATATATATATATATATATATATATATATATATATATATATATATATATATATATATATATATATATATATATACAGGAATCTGGCGAATATTGGGCTGCGACATTGCTATATTGGGCTGTGAAAGAATAGTTTACTTGGATAGGAACTTAAAATAATGTTAAAATATACCCTTCAATGTATTTATTATATACTGTATTCATGTGCCACTCGCATGTTTTGGCCCAGCTTTATAGAAGATATGTCGTTCCGCAAACCGTCCTATTTCAGTATGTCTCCTTCACCGTTAATCCCCGTATTTTCTTCGTGAAAACCATAACCGTCATTTTTCTTATGCATGCAGTAAAAGTTTATCGGCCAGGGACTTCGCAACGATCGACGAGAAGACAATTAGATGGCAGATATTCGTTGAAAAATATTTAACTGTATGATCTATATTCAGAAATCTTGCCAACGGCAGCTGTAGTTGGGAGTGAGATGTAAAAGAATTTTACCCGAACAGGAACTTAAATGTTAAAATGTTCCTTCAATGTATTCATGAATATTATATTGATTTCATGTGCATGAAATGACTCGCATGTTTTTGGCGCCTCCCAAGTTGCAGACCCAAATAGAACACACTAGATATAGCTTAAGATCTACGACCTCGACGTCAGCTAGGACATCAGGGGTAAGCAGAGGACTGGGACTATAGGACGTCGTCCTAAATAAGTAAACTTCCACTTAAGATTCACGACGTCGACTATTTAAACTATAAATATTTACATCCTTTTGAAAATGAATTAAAAAGAGACGTTTGAACCCATTACCGTTGGTTATGGTCTTGTATCCACGACGGTAAACCTCTTGTTGTGAGGTTGCCGACGTTTGGTTGACGACGAGCAAATTGAGAGAGACACATGCACACTTCAAAAACTATATTACCAATTTACTTCCGCTTGCCGCCCTAAATATTTGACGTCGTAGATATTGAGCTATCCACTTATTTAGGACGACTTCCTAGTCCCAGTCCTCTGCTTAGCCCTTACGTCCTAGCTGACGTCGACGTCGTAGTTCTTAAGCTATCTAATCTCTCTGAAGAATTTCAATACTGCATCAGTGTAGCTATAACTAACTATTATTGCAAGCTTGTGGGGGAGTACAGACTACATACATTGTGTCTATAGGAAACTAAATGTTTTGCGGCCCTTTTTCTGAACAAAGAAAATTAAAAACAAAATACTTCAGCCGTTTATTAAAAAAACCCAACACTTTAGCCTTTTATTCGGTAAGTACAGAAGCTATCGGAAACTTTAGTTGTGCGTATTGCCAGTTGTAAACGCTTCTCCGTCCTTTATTGATCCAGTGTGTTACCAGCTATATACAGGAGAAAACTTTAACTAAACCAACTTTATATACCAAGAGCGCCTGCTTACGGCATAAACAATATATACATGCAGTTTCATATTATTTCATCGTTTTCGAACCTTCGACGAGATTGCTACGTATAATGCCATAGATTTATTTCATTTACATATACTAACATATCAAATGAAACTAAATTAACACGAGAACGAAAAAAGAGCATGCTGACTTAAATTTCGTTGCCATTGCAGTAAACTCTCCTGTTTTCATGCCCGCCGGCATGCATGCATGGGCAAATATCACAGAAGACAAAACTTTGTATGCACATTCATGCAGGCAATTACGCCAAATCTAAACATATTCTATTTAAATTAAAGAACTTTCGAAATCTTTTTATTTGCCGTATTTTGGAGATAAAAAGTCGTTCTCAAGCATTTTGTGTTTTTTTTTCAATAATTAGTGTATTGTGCTTTTTAAAGATATTTCGTTATTTTGATACCATTATTAAGCAGATTAATAATGGTATCACCCTCATCAGCACTACACTGATGAGGCCCATAAAGCCGATACGGTACCGTCTGTAGTTAGATATTGCTCTATGGCCTTTAAGGTCATATTGAGCGCTCTACAGGATGAGCCATGCCGCTTACGCATTGCGCACGCTCACTGCTTGCAGTTTGAGCGCTCTGGCATGGTTTTGATGTCCCACATTCGTGAGGCATCAAAGGTGACTGTAAATAGCAGTCACTTTCATCCTGCTCATCAGCACTACACTGATGAGGCCCATAAGGCCGAAACGGTACCGTCTGTAGTTATATATATATATATATATATATATATATATATATATATATATATATATATATATATATATATATATATATATATATATATATATTATATATATAGTATATATATATATATATATATATATATATATATATATATATATATATATATATATATATATATATATATATATATATATATCGTTGCAAAGATGAGATAAATTTGTACAATATATGGAAGTGTTAAAAAATCCTGTAGAATAGCCGCTGAGAAATTAATAGTTTACAATTCTTGGCAAATTGTATTTATTAGCAGTCTGGATAGCTGTTTGGGAGAGACGAAATGGCCATATTTTTCATTTTGACTTTTGAGTGATTGAAATGAGTGAATTTACACCATTCAAATGTCATGTTGAATGTTATTCAAATCCCGCAAATGGCCCAACGCGTCAACAAAGTTGGCGGCAACTTAGGACCGCTTTATTTTCAAAGTTTCAGAACGCTTTTTGCGATATTATACGCCAATTGTCAAATAGTGATTTGGATGAAGATGGTGTGGACAGCATTATTTTCTGTCTTGAACAATTCTATCCATCTTGTTCGGCTATGCAATGTCGACTTGATGACCACTGTGAACATTGACTGCGAAGTACGCCATTCAACATCCCAAATTTCCACGCGCGCGTCACGCGACGGTGTGGCAATTCAAAGCGCCGCAAAGACTGCTGGCATGTTTGCGACAAATATATAGCCCGGCGACAAAGACTGCTGGCATGTTTGCGACAAATATATAGCCCGGCGATTGACAAAGTCTGTTGCCCAATGACAAAGTCTGTTGCCGAACTGACAAAGTCTATTGCCGAATGACAAAGTCAATACCAAAATGCTATCAAGCCGATAACTAATTTCATTGCCGAATGACAAAGTCAATACCAAAATGCTATCAAGCCGATAACTAATTTCATATGCTATCGAATCGAATGAGATATCTTTCCAGACAATTCAGATTAGTGAATATTGACACTAAAAATGCACCATAAGATTCCGGCCAATTCATGCAATTACTGGAGTGTAAATACTGTGGCATTGAAATTATAGGTGTCCCGACAGTCCCGTCCAGTCTAGAATCAAATGTATAGGTTCTGATTTGATTTCCAAAGAGTCATGATCTTTTAAAACATCGTGGCGGGGCGAAATTAGCAAGAAATTTGCGAAGTAATTTAGACGATGTTATAGACGTATATTTGACATGTTATGGCCTTTCGACCGCATAATAATAGCGATCTATAGTCTTGTTTGCGTCGTGTTGCATGTTACTGTGTTTCGAATATCACAGATGTTCGGCATGCCTTTATTTCTTCAGAAAAGCGCAACAAATTATATTATATGTCGTTAAAAGTTCAACATCTTACTCCTCTAAAACGTAAATTCGCATGCGGATACCAAAGTTGTTGTATTTACGGAAGGACAAAATGAGCACAACCGGGGCGTGCGTGAAATTAGACAGTTCAACTTTGCCGCCCGAGTTAACGCTGGCATAAGTGTACGGGGCGGGTGGGGGGATGGAGGGCTGCCCCCTCTCCCTCTAATTTTTGTCAAAGAGGGCAAAGTCGTACAATTTTTGGTTGGGCGACAGGGGAGGTATCACAAGCCGTTGGGCAAAAAGCGACCGCCTCCCTGAAATTTTGGTCGCCCGGCGTACGCCTATGTTATCGCGTTTTCGCGATGTATAGAAATAAGTTAACCGCTTGAAATTTCTTTTGAATGTACATTCTCCAGAATGGTCGTCAATCAACTTCGTCCCCGGGGCCACCTTCGTGGACAATCAAGTTTTTCATTATAAAGGTAAAAAAACAAGGTTTAAAAATTTTCCGATCTGTGCAACCGCGCTTACGGCCCCTTCATGTACTAGGAATATGACAAGATAATGTGGTCTTTCAAAAAACTTCAATTTCCATCGGTGGTTAAGCATTCAAAGCAGTTTGTTTACAAACTAGTCGTTCCAGCTCCAGACCTGGAGCTTTTTGGCATCTGGAGTCGTCTGGCTCGTCATGAGCAGTCTCGACAATGCAGTGGCTAACATAACGCAGGCAACACGCCTGTTTTTAATGTTGGCGTAATCAGGAATACTTCATATGTTGAATAAAACGTTTGGAAAATGTGGGCAAGGGTTGTTGCATGCATGTATTACTAGTATTTTTATGAAACTTTTATTTTGTTTTCCAGATTCGATTTCATTGTTATAATTTTAGTTGATAAATACGGCGTCGTCGTACGTATAAAAAATAACACTTTCAAAAATGTTGATTAAAGAGAAATTTGATGCGAGTATAACATAAGATCAGAGGCGAAACTACCAGGGGTGGTGTAACACCCCCCCCCCCCTCCAGTCTCTATCTCGTCGGGTATATCCACACAATTTCAGCGGGCAAATTTTGAAAATATTTGAGTGTCTCGGATTGAAAAGTAATACTTATATAGTTGTAGGAAAATTTTTGATAAATTTTCGAAAATATTACTGAAAATTTTTACAAATTGCGGTAAATTATTTCGAAAAAAATAATGCTAATTTTTGAAAAACAAACAGATACAAAACACCTTGGATATATTTTCTAAATTTAAAAAAGGTTTAGAAGTACTCAAATTTCTTCAATGGATTTACTTGGTTGCAGTGGGAGTTCATGTAAATAATACAGCACACATGCATGGTTAAGACAATACTAACTAGACTATGACGAATACTTACAAAATATGTGGTTTAGGTTACACTACTGCATTTGCATTTTCAGAACGATTTTTGCATTTGCATTTTCAGAGGTTATTAAGTATTTCTATCAAAATACTGGTCCTATATTAAAATCAAAGGCCTGTAACTTGCTTCACCCAGGGGTAAAGGTTGGCAACATGAGCATAAACTCCATAGTATCCGGCAGATGCACACCCACGACCCCAGCTCGTCACACCAGTAAGATACCATGAACGATCACTATGTTGACAAACAAGTGGACCTATGAACGGAAGACAACATTTATTTGAATTAGGTCGATTTAACGATTGCCTTTAAATGATTAGTGGCACACTATACCTTTGCAGGTTTGAACTCTTATACCGGGGCAATTATATGGGGCAACTACAATCCTGGCCAAAATGTTGTGGACAACCCACAGACATTGTACTCGAGTGGTGTTTTTTCTGAATAATTATTCCCCCACTACAAGCCAATGTTGAATGCGATTTTTTATCAAATAAGAAGTGTCAAGTGTCCACATGAGTTTTGGCCTGGATTGTAGATCTGGGAAAGTTTCGTTGAAGTCCATTACAGATTTTAAAGTTTTTTTTTAATAAGTTTTAAGTAAAGCCATTAGGTGCCATATGCATGGGTAAAATGCGTTTATTCTTTATTCCGAAGCCGGTAATTCTTTTCTGTGGTTTTAGTCGATCTGGCTTTTGCTGAACTACTCAACTTTGAAAGGAACATATTTTTAGATTTTATGATGTACATGGTCCTTATAATGTACTTTTAACATTTTATTATATGTAATAACTTATAATAGCTATTCGCTATTTATATTGTAAATTTCAAGACGTAATATTGTAATTTAAACCTGAAAAGCCCTAGGGGAAGGTTGAATAAATCTACGACTAGTACTACTGTAACTGGTATAACGGTTAGCGTAATGGTTGCTATCATGTCGTTTTGACTGTGACGAACAAATCATATCTATTCTTAAGTCTTACCTCCGCTGTCACCTTGGCAAGTGTCGGTACCACCTTGAGAATATCCAGCGCACAGCATTCTATCAGTAATACTCGAGCTGCCGTATGATTCTTTGCATTGTTGTGGAGTTACAATGGGAACTTGAGCTTCCTGTAAGACATTTGGCGTTGATCCCCCACTTTGCAGTCTGCCCCATCCAGAGATGTAACAACGTTGACCTATATAGAAATACCATAATTTCGCTATTTGATCTATATGTATATGATCGTTGTTTTGGAGGTAGCGTTCAGGACCTTATGAGCTCAATGTTTAGGGAGGTTACCATCAAGTGCATTACTGTAATTAAATGGACATTTGTGATGTGATAATGTATGACATTATGTGGTTAATTTTATATTGCTATTTTGCTCATGGGCGTACCGGGCGTACATGGGCGTACCTCGCTGAACTGTCGGGCAATTTTGGTTTATCAAAAAATATTATTATTATTATTAAAACTTATTTACAAACAATAACCCTTCAGCCTACGCTGCTTTTAAAGGGGTTGTTTACATAAAAGAAAGTACAAAATAAATATTTACAAAATAGTATAAGTATTTACAAAATAGTGTAGTTGACTAGGAGTCTTTACAATTGGATATTTTTTCAACGTAGGTGATTGTTGAGCTTAGTTTTAAAAGAATGTATCGTCAACTGTTCGTGAACGTCTAAGATTTCGTTAGGTAATGAGTTCCAGGCGGAAGCTCCTCGATATGAAAATGACTTTTTCATAAATGATCTATTAGGTTTATCGAGAGTTAGTTTCCGCCCGTTGCTCCGCATGTGGTGACTTCTATTATCACAGTAGGAGAACATATTACAGATGCACTCCGGCGCTATACCTCGGATAGCCTTAAACGTAATTAGAAATTCTCTTTTTTTAAGAATGTTATCTATTGGATGCCAACCTAGACTCTGGAGGATTGTTTTTATCTTGTTTCATAGTTTAATCCAGTAATTATACGAGCGGCTCGCTTTTGTAATTTATAAAGTTTTTCCAAATTTGTTTTGTTTCCATCGTTCCAAACTGTCGAACAGTATGTAAAGTAAGGAACTACCAGGGAATTGTAAATACGGAGTAAGTTGTTGTAAGGTACGTGTGGTTTTGCCTTTCTAAGCAGAGCTATTGCACTTGAAAGTTTTTTGCATTGCTCATTAATGTGTTCAGTCCACCTTAGTTCGTTATCAATTGTAATACCTAAGGTTTTTTTTGCTTAACTTGTTTAATAATGGATCCGTTTATATGTATACGAATATCAGTGCGAAATTGATTAAGTTTTCTTTTTGAGGCTATTAACATAAATTCTGTTTTGTCTGTGTTCAATGTCAACCTATTTGCTTCTAACCAGTCGTTAACATTGGATAAGTCAGCGTTTAGTTTGTGCTCGATTTCGGCTGGGGTCCTTCCTGTGCATGATAGATTGGTGTCATCAGCAAACATGGATGCTTGTGTGTACTCAAGGCACATTGGTAAATCATTTATGTACAATGAGAATAGCAATGGTCCCAGATTGGAACCCTGTGGTACTCTACATTGAACTGTTTCTTGGCCTGACTTGTTGTTATTAATGACACAAACTTGTTTTCTGTTGTTTAAGTAAGATGCTAGTAATTTTAGAG